GTCAAAGGCGAGGGAAGGGACCAGGGCGGATCCGCTTCCCCCACCCTAGGCGGGCGGGGGAGGGGCCGCCGCCCCCTCCTCAGAGCAGAGCTCCCGCCCCTCGCTTCCCCGGGCGCCGAGCGGAAATTACCCCCTCCCCCCGCGAGTCTGACCTGGGGACGTGGGCGGGGCCTCGCTCTCGGCCCCCCGCCCTCGGCCCCTCTACCGCCTTCCCGCCCGGATCCAAATCCTGCACCCCAAACAAAGTTCCGAGACCCGGACCCAGCGCTGGGAAAGCTGCCGTCGCTGTCGTGGGTGGGGCGGGCGGAGGGGACTCCACCTGTCCGCCCCCGCGTCAGGGAGGGAGAAGGGGATCATTTGGATCTCCACCCTGTCACTCCCTCCCTGAGACCTCCCCCTTCGGTTAGCCCGGGTCTGCTCACGCGACCACTCCTCTTCCTTCTCTCCACCCCTCCCTCTCCCGGGGTCATCTTGGGCCGGAGCCGCGCTTTCCCTAGGACCCCGAGACGTTGTGGTTCAACAGCCGAACCCTGGGTGTGAGCCACCCTTTCTCCCGGGGGAATCCCGAAACATGATTTCCTGCGGATCCTCCGTTCCCAGCTGCGATCCCCGTGTTCCCAGCTTCCCGGTCCCGCGCTCGCAAGACCCCCCTAGGTCCTGGATTCCCCGAGGCGAGGGAGTCGCCTAGCGCTGGGGCTGGGAAGGCTGAGACCCCCCCCCACTTAAAGATCTAGGAAAAAGCGCCTTTATTTTGAAATCACCGGCTCGCGCGACCCCCTCCTGAAGACCCCAGAGTCCTCGGCTTCTCTTTGTCTATCTCGGCCGTCCCCCGCCTGTCAGTCGCTAGCAGTTAGAGCTAGGGTAGGGTGGGCAAACTCCCCCCACCGCCGACCACTCGAATAAAAAATAACCATACATTTTACCCATTAAGAGGTGGGAGATTCTGATTCGGACCACCCTCCCCCAGCTAGGGCCCGGGTAGGGGGATGGGTGGGGGCGGGGCTCCTCCCTAGGGGCCAGATTCTTCTAAAGGGGAAGGGGGCGAGTAGAGCTTCGAGAAAGCGGACCCCACCCGTCCAGTTTACCCCAGGGGTGAATGGAGAGCAACCCCGGGGCGGGAGTTTGGAGGGCTGGGCCGGGTTGGAGGGCCGAAGGGCCTTGAGGCGTCGGGGGTCTTCCCCTGCAGGGTGGGTGGGGGCTTTCACCACGTGGCTTCGCCTTTTTTTTTTCCGCTCCATTTTTTTTCAAGTCGATTTTATTTAGAGGCGGCGCCAGGGCGGCCGCGGAGAAACGTGACACACCAGCCCTCTCGGAGGGGTTTCGGACAGAAGGGAAGGAGCCGCGCCGCGTCGTCCGCCTCCCAGCGCGCCGCGGGCACTTCTCCCGGGCCTCCCCGAACTCTCCCGCGACCTCTGCGCGCCCTCCGGCCGCCCCCCCCCGCCACCGCCCCGGCTCCGGACAACTTCAGGGGTAGGGTGCAAAGAAAGTTTGCGTCTGCTGCCGCCGCCTCCCGCCTCGGCCTAGGAGGCTCGCCGCCTGCGCCCGCCCGCTCGGCCTTGCCCGGGACCGCGTCCTGCCCGAGACCGCCACCATGAACAAGCTGTACATCGGCAATCTCAACGAGAGCGTGACCTCCGCGGACTTGGAGAAAGTGTTTGCGGAGCACAAGATCTCCTACAGCGGCCAGTTCTTGGTCAAATCCGGCTATGCCTTCGTGGACTGCCCGGACGAGCACTGGGCGATGAAAGCCATCGAAACTTTCTCCGGTAAGAGTGCACCCACCTCCCCGAAAAAACCACCGCGAAATCCCTGAACAACAGAGACCTGCTCCTCCTCTTTCCTCGTCCGCCAACTTCTCTGTCCCCGGCCTGTGGGGCTTGGCCTCGGAGCCGACTCCCACCCACCCACTCCGACGCCCCCGCCGACCCCACGCTGGCTCCTCGTGCGGAAATATTCAGCTTCCCTCACCCCATCCTCCTAGTCTGAGATGAGGACCTGGGGGCTTTAGAGTGGTGACCCCCTTATCCCCCACCGACGGGGCGTTAGCCCCAGTGGCAGGGGTGGGGGGGACTCGCCACCGAGGTGACCCCCGTCTGGGCGTCTTTCTACGTTTTCCCCTCGGTGGCCGAGGCTGGACGCCCGCCCCCCTCCTCGCGCGTGAGCACCCTCTCCCCTTCCTCCGCCCTAGGCCTTGCCCAGCCGGGAAGGGGTCCCCGCTCCGCTTCTGATCTCCTAGGTTTCCGTGGGGACTGCAGCCTTCGGGCCCGACCTGAGAGGGACGGGGTCCCGCCTCCCGCCCAGGGCCTGGGGCTTGAGCCATTTTGATTTGAAAGTGGGGCGTGAGCGGGGTGGCGCGGCGGCGGCGGCGGCGGGTCGCCATGCTGCTTCCCGAGACGCTCAGGCTGGGCCGAGAGGCGCGCGCCGCGGCCGCCCGGGACCCTCCCCGCGGGGCCCCGCTCCGATCCCCCAGGGCCTCGTCTCCTGGCCGGCCCCGACAGGTGGCCGCCCCACCGCCCGAAGCTCTTCTCCCTGGCTCGACAGAAAAATAAAGTTTCATTCCGCACCGCCCCCCCCCCTCCAGCCATGCACTTTGGGAGAAACGGGGGGGCCCTTTCTGGGCCCCTTCTCGAACCCCACATCTGGGAGCCGTAAATGCAGCCGGCCACACAGACGCCCTCGCACCTCTTCCAAATCCGGCCCCCAGAGCGAGCCACTACTCAACTAGCCCCAGTGAAAGAACAAAACAAAAATTAAGAAAACACAATAATGAACGCACAGGGTCCACCATTCCCCGAGCGACCTTTTGCATCCGGCTGCGGAACCCACTACCTGGATTCCTAGGAAGAGCTCAGATCCCAGTAACTCCTGGATGAATACCTTTCTCCTTACTTTTGCCGCCCCCCACTCCTGTTCAAGCTCTCATAGTGTCTTTTTCAATTTAATCTTTAGGGAAAGTGGAACTGCAAGGAAAACGCCTAGAGATTGAACACTCGGTTCCCAAAAAACAAAGGTAGGAGAGAGCTCTTCCCTGCGGAGACGGTCGGCCTGGGGGCACTGAGAGGCTGTGTTTAGGGGTCCATAGTGTCTCCAGTGGAAGAAACCCATTACTGGCCTTCCCACCCCCAACTCCGGATGTTGGGGGCAGGGAGGGAAGATTGGCTAAGATCTTGTAATGGGTGGTTTACAGCTTGTAAAAAAATAAGCTGGGGCTGGGGTGGGCTGAGAGATGTTACTTGGAGAAGTGAAGGGGAAAAAATCAATAGGGGAGAAACCTTGTGGAGTTTGTTCAAGATGTGTGGGATCACTTGTGGGGAAGCGAAAAAATCTTTAAAAGAGTTTAGACTCATGGACATTTCAGCAACTTCCTAGCAGGCCATTTTTTTCCCCACCATTCCTTCACCCTACTTCTTAAGTGAATTGTGGGGGGCTCCCCTTTGACTCCCTAGGGGAAGTGGAATGAGTTCCTGCCTCCAGAAGAATTCTATACTTTTGCTTTATTTATATTTCTGCAACAGGGAAGGACGTTATTTTTTCACAGACCCCTACCTCTAGTCACTCACATCACACGTCCTCCCTTCCCAACTGGATTTTGCAAATATGCTTTGGCTGTACTATCCTTTCCGAGCCCCCCACCCCCACTCCTTCAGTCCATTGTTACAAGGGGACCATCTGGGGTGAGAGCTTTGTGTTCAGGCTGTGAGCTGGGGCTCTTTGGAGGGTCTAGAACTCCCTGGATGAATGGTGTGTGTTTGTGTGTGTGTGTGTGTGTGTGACCCAATACCTTTCTGTCCTCACTTGAGCAAAGTGGGGAACCTCTATCATGCTATCATATTATCCCCAATTTTGATTCATGGTGGATTTCAAATCTTTCCTTGAACTGGGAAGTGTAAGAGCAGTCTTCTTGCTTTCTCAAATCTGACTTAAACATGTTGACAGTGCAGTTTTCTCATGCTGCAGCCCCCAGTAAATCTTTGATCCTCTCCTCCCTCTGTCCCCTCATTTCAACTGGAAACTTGCTGCATTTCAGAGTAGTCCCTGGCCTTTTCTGAGTGGCAAAGTGAAGGTGGGTGGCTATGCTCTTTTGGAGGCAGTTAAGAGGGTCTAGAAAGTTTAACCGGAGAGAAACTGTTCAGTGGTTTAGCCGGAGATATTTAAGTAACTTGGAAGTATTGTATCTATAGATGATCAATATGGCTTGTTACTATGTTTATAGAGCTTGTGATTTAACCTCAAGTGCTTGAAATACTGTTATTGGAAAGGCAATTAGTGTTAGGGATAAAGAGGCAATAAAATCAGAAGAAAGAAAAAAAGTCTTAATTATTATTTGGAAGCATCTCCTGGAGATGGGATAAGGGAAACATGTACACTGACATCAGTAGATTTATTGAGAAGGTTGTGGATATTTGAATTGAAAGCTGAGTGTTTGGAACATGTTGATGAGAAATAACCAGAAGAACTGGAATTCTGAAATATGTGGAATATTTTTCTTTTGCTCCAAAGGATGGTTTTAAATTTTAAAGGGAAGAAACTGAAAAGGAAGAAAATGGCAAAATGTTGATGAAATGGAACCCAAAACATTTATATTTTAATTTTCATGGTGCTCTGTATTTATGGATCTTTTTCCCTAAGCCATCTGCTTGCTTTAAAGCCATTTTTAGGCTCCTTCTCGTTCCCTCCAAAATGTATTACTCAGGGCTCCTTTGAGTTGGCAAGGGGTGGGGTTTGTGAGGAGTGGGTACAAAATCTTCCTTTCCACACCCAGATTCAATCTTTTGTGTTCTCCCCCTTCCTGAAATAATTTTTGAGCACATTGAGTCAGTTGTGTTTTGTTTTTTCCCTTGGGTAGTGGTAAGGCACTTCATTTTTCTAGGATGAATCAATTTTTGAAGTTTTAGGATTTAAAAAAAAGAAAGTTTGTTTTCATGAAGTAAAGTTTGCTCTATCATTTTGTGTTCTTTGAGGAAGCATGTTGTGGTATTTGTTTTTAGTCTGTCTGAAAAGTGTTTCTTTAGTTGGTTTGTTACTGGCTTTTTTAGTCTCGTGGATTTATAGAACAGGAACTAGTTGATTAACTATGATTAACATATTTTAAGCAAAATGAACAATGGTGCATATGTATTTTGTGTGTGTGTGTGTATATGTGTGTATATTGTTTTCACTCTTTAAAATAGAACTCTTGATGTGCTCAGTTCCAAATGAATTATGACTTTTAAACATTTCTAAGAGATTCTTAAAAACCTAGCAACCTAAATGTCCTGGGTTTTTTGTTGTTGTTGTTGTTGTTGTTTTAGAGGGGCATGTGAAATAAAAGATAATATGCTCAGTTACTTCTGAGCAGCCCTGATTTTGAAGTCTTAATATATTTTGTTTTACCTTGTGTCTATTTGATATAGAATTTGTTCCTTTTAAGTAAGAACTCAAGAGACTGAACATTATACATTTAAACTGAAAATAATTTGAATTTTTTAAATAGGCAACATTAAATTTCTCTGAGATCACCTTCCCAAATGTTCTTAGTCAGTGTTGGAATTTTGGTCAAGAGTTTCAGCTGTTGAAAATTTGTATATATTTACTGTCAAATATTAGGACAAAGGAGGAAAGCCAAAAGAATTTTAAGAACAGTAGTGGAAAGGGTTTGTAAATGTGTGGGTTTTTTTTTTTTTTAAAGACTCTTGAGCAGTTAAGAGGGTACCATATTGGTGAGACTTGTATTTTGGGAGAAAATACCTTAAATTCCTTAAAATTTCCCCAACTTTTGTTTCATTTGCCACTATGTGTACCTTTTTCTAGAGGAATGTGGCCTAAAGATAGCATACCTCCTGTCAAGTGTTGTCATCAAAGTAAAAGTTGTTGTTAAGAAAAAAATGAAGAAGTGTACCACATTTCTCTGGGTGAAATGTGTTCAAGTTAAAGACTTTGATTTCCTTAGGCAGGTTGATGGTTGTTTTCTCTGACTTCAAATGAGGTGGGCTAACACTTTCCTTTAAATTTCTAACTTAAAAATCACACAAAAATTGATCTCTGGACACAACTGTGAACACTCTCAGAAGAGAAAGTGTTCAAACTTTATTCTGATTATTCAGTTTAATTTTCTACTTAGCCACTTTAAAAATCTCTATGAAGGGATGTCTTGTAAATGACAAAAATATTTTTAGTTTTAAATGATTTGTAGAGACTCTGAAGAAATAATTGGATCACTACATATTTTCAAAACACAAAAATTTTGCCTTCAGAAATGGGTTTGCCTTTAAGGAAAATCGTTCTTTGGGGCTGAGAATAAATTATATGGGGGTTAAGAAACAACAACAAAGGAGAAAAAATACTAGATAGAGTGGGAGGATTTTCAGGCACTTTTGCTTTAGTGATTATAGCCAAAAGATACATCTGATGAGGTATTCAACAAGTTAGTTTAAAGTTGAAATAGTTTCTTACATTTACTGAAAAGATTTTCTTAATAATAGGTTTTTTGAATTTTAAACAAGTTTTAAAAAAAATCAGTTGGTTCTTCATTTTTCTGCACTGTTTGGAGGAATGGTGGAAATCAATTCACTCACCCCATTTTAGTTTTCACCTAGAAAGTAAATGTTAAAATTCATAAATTAAGTTTTCTTCACTGCTAGAGAAATCTTTAGCTTTTTATCATTTAGTGCTGTGTTTCAAGATGACTTTCCTAAGGACAGTGGTATTTGACTATCCTTTGGAAAAGTTGTATGTTTATTTTCTACCCAAAGCAGAAAAAGACGAAATTTTACTCCAATGGTTTCTCAGATGGAGAACTTTGAGTAAAGTAGGGGAAGAATTGTAATTTCCCATCACTAATTTATTCAGAGTATAGTTAACTATTCCAAATGTAAAGTTTAAATGGCATAGATTTTGGTGGAACAAGAGCAAAACATTCTTATAATTATGTTTTAGACATGAAGTACATGACATTAGCCATTGGAAGAATCTTGATTCAAAGGTTCAGAGCTTCTAATCTTTTAAAATTACCTTAATATATGTCATTTGAATCACATTTTATGTGTTTAGGTACTTTTAAGGCTTATTTTTTGAGTTTATTTATTCTATACTTTAATGTGTATAATGTGTAAGAGCCAGTTGACAAAGACACCATTGAGATAGGCTAGTGAGTATAAAATTTTAAAACATTAAAAGTTTCAGGTTTAGTTAAGTGAAAAGAGGGAGACCAGTGAATGCTATTTGTAGAGGTTTAAGGATTTCTGTGTTGAAGAGATACGTATTGGTTATACCTGTGTTGATTTGTGTGTTGGGGGGGATGTTGGGGGGGTGGTTTCATTAAAATAGATGTATGAACCAAAGGCGTTTGAAGAACAGACATTTTGTCAGCTGTTAGAATTTAAATTCAGTCTAGTTCGCTCCCCATCCTCCTAAGATTCTTAAAATGTGGCCAATGCCTTCCAGAAAGTGCAGTTTAGATTTTGGGATGGGAGTGTTAGGGAGAGAAAAGAGGAGGAAAAAAGCAGCAGGGAGACTGGAAAAATCAGACGAGTTAGTCCTGGGTTGGAAATTCCAGACGGGGGAAAAAAAAGAGAGAAAGAGAGATGGGGGTTGGGGTGGAGTGCCCGCTTCCCTTTTACAGAGGAGCGGCTGCAGGCGCACAGCCGCCCACGGGAGAGGGGGTCGCAGGCACCAGGTTTAGAAGACGGGTGGTAGATTCCGCCGAGGGCCAGGCGCTTTTGGCTTTCGGAGTTGCCTGCCTTCCCTTCGATTTTTCAAAACGCAGAGAAAGTCGCGGCGGCGCTGGAGGCGCTTCCTGGAGAGCCCGCGCCGGCCCCGCGGCCCTAGCCCGTCCCCGCCCGCGCGGCCCGCCCAGCCCAGCCCGGCCCGGCCTCGCAATCTCTGCCCGCTCCGCGCCGGGCCCCCGCCCTCCTCTCAGTTTGAACCAGCCCCTGCCCGGGAACATCCGCAGGCCCGGGTCTCGAGGAGGGCTTCCTTTCCCAGGGTCCCCGAGACCCCTGGCTGCGGCGCGCCGCCGACAGCCTCGCCTTG